CTGTTTCCGAGGGGGGGCTTATACTCTTTTATTTCCAAAAACAGAGTGACAATCTGTCTAAAACTGGGAACAAGACGATAAACTGTGAATTCATTCCCTCAATTAGATTAAGCTTCATTCACTACATAAGATTTCATTTTCTAAACCCATCCATCTCAAACTGGAGTGAATTCACTCTAAATCGTCCTGTTCCCAACCTTGTGTGGAAGAACGAGTGAAAGTTCCCTCTTTGGAAATCAGAAAATACATCATACCTGGTTCTGCATAGGTAACTTTTCAGAGGCTATCATAAGATACAATAATACGTATTTAGAAAGCGCACGTATCCACCAATATTGGTGCTCAAGCCGCTACATTATTATTACCCTGCTCATTGGGCCTATGTATCATTCCTAACACCATCTCAGCTCCCTGGGGAGTATACAGCTCGATGCTGCCATTTCGGTGCAAAGCAGCTAAACTGCCTTAACCGAGGGCACACGCACCACAACCCCCATGCTTGTATCATCAAAAGCACAATTCCCCCATCTCCCTGATTTATCTGCCCCACTATTACATGTACGTTCACCGTTTCACACCTAGTCTAGGGGCTAGACGCTGTTCTTGTTTGCTACGCCGATAACCCGCCACCGCGACAACCTGCCACCGCGACAGGGCGCTATCACGACCAACCAATATCACCCACGAACCTGTCAGAAAAACGTCTAGGGTACTTGCTTAAATTTCCCCCCGAAAAATGGGGGAAACTAGTTCGCGTGCGCCAATTGTGTATGTAATTTCCACTTCACAAACGCGCACACACGAAACAGATCTGCCATAAAATTGCACAATAGTCTGGTAGCTCGCTTTACTACTGGCTGGAAGTTTCGGACATATACAGTGGATAATTGTCTGCTGTCGGCCGAGCCGCGGGTTGCCAGCCGGCCGAGTACGGCGCCGGGCCCGCCTGGGGTAGCATTGCAGTACGCTCGCGCTGTTTGGTTCGTAAAATACGACGGAGAAATGGCACACACGCACAGACGTACACATGCACTATAACATGTATACATGTACACACATATTGTACATGTACATGTACATCATGATTCAATCCGCGGGATATATACGGCGCGGTATGGTACGTCAGGGGATCAGACTATGAATATGCATATATTTCGGGTAATTATGCAACATATATAATACGCGCTACATACATTAGGCAAAGCAGATGCGCGCGCATTACACAACCAATAGCAAGTGCCCTAGACGTTGTTCTGACATGTTCGTGGGTGATATTGGTTGGTCGTGATAGCGCCCTCTCGCGGTGGCCAGTTATTGGCGTAGCAAACAAGAACAGCGTCTAGCCCCTAGACTACTTCACACCAATTTGGGCAAATTTTGCCTTGCATTGCGGAATTAAAATACTTTAATTCTCACCAAGGCTGCTGCCCTTAATACCTTTTTTTTTTCGTTCTTCTACCTGTTTACACGGTGAATAATAACGCCGGTGCGCACCACTGAGCTCCGACGCGATAAAGGACAACTCTTTGAAAAGGTGGCCTTGCATTGGCAGACTTCTTATAAAAAGGATTAGGAATTGGGGGAAGCAAGTGAATAAAGGACTTTTTACTGGTGAAAGAACTGCCGTGCTTTATTGTATGAGGTTGCAATCTTTGCAGTGATTTCCCGTAAACAAGTATAAATGAGACATCGACAGAAAAACATATCGGCTCACGAAGTACTCGCAGCCCAACAAGAATTCTGTTCTCCTGGGGTAGGTTGGTTCCCGCCCAGAAATCAGTATCAATAATGTGTGGACCGGGAGCCAGTCGGCTCGCAAGGCGGATCCTGATTTCGACCAAAATTAAAACCGTTTGTCAGAGGGTTGCAGACGCCAAAGAAAACACACAACTTAAAAATTAATTAAGAGAAAGAAATCGAATTTAAAAGAGCACGGGAACGCAACCCTAAGTTTGAAAGTAATTGTTTACTTTGAATGATTCTTTTAATGAGCTACATGTTCATAGATATGAAATGGTCTTAAAAGCGTAGAATTTGTTTACCAAACATGTGGTGCTACAATGTATACTGAGTGGTGTCTTAAAGCAATCCACAACCTCGAGATCAGAGCGACCTCGTGTCCATTATAGCTCCTGGGATGGAGAGACGCAATTGTGATCTAATGTCTTACCCAAGAACACAATCACTATTATAGTCCCCATGTTAGACTTTGAAACCACATACCATCGCGTCTGTATATAGCACACCGTAGCCGAGTAAAGAGTATTTCCGAAGATTTTCTTATGTATCCCTTTCTTGGATGGTCGATGTCTTATTTAGAAAACACATTTGGATACTTTGTTTAGGGCAACACAAAAAAACAGGCCTGGGAGCAGGGCCGGATTAAAGCGTTCCGTAGGCCTACCATAGGCCTTGTGCACCAGTGTTCCGTAGACCCTACTCCTCACTAGGTACCAGTACCGATTTCATGTTGATGCTAAGCTGTGCTAAGCAAACCAGTCCCAACTGGTAGCTCAAAAAGCCTGTTGTCACACGATGGTATGTTTCGAAGGCCCTCATTTTTTTTCGTAGGCCCCCGAATTTTTCGTAGGCCCCAGGCACAGTGCCTACGATGCCTGTTGGATAATGGGCCTGCCTGGGAGAGGAGGATTAATGGCCCACTTCTGCATAACCCGGCCGTCCATTTTATGCAACATTGTCCCGTGGGTGACCCTTGGCAGAGTGCTTTCGAAACTTTGAAAGTGGGACGGTACTTTTTTCCTTCTGCATAAACAGTTTTGAACAAATTCATTACAATATGTCTGAACGTATTGTATGTTGCAAAGAATGGACCGATTGTTAAGGTAACTGCGTCGGTTGATTTGCTGTATTGGTTTGGTTTGGTTTGGCTTGGCTTGGTGGATTTTAAATGTAATGGGGAAAAATTGTTAGATGGAAAGACGTCATCTTTTGTGCGGTTTTTACAAACTGAATAGCCGTAGGAAAATGATTTGTGGGAGCTGCATGGTTCTTGGTCTGGTGGTGTTCAAAAGGCTTTTTTCGTTCTTTAGAAACCTGTTTTCGAAAGACTTCGGAATGTTTCAAAAGAATATTCAAATGGGAATTGTGAGACGCAGAGAAATGATCGATTGTGTCGGTAAATCTTTCAGAAATTTCAATTTGAAAAAAGAGCTTACGGAAATTAGCTTGCAGGAGCTGTTAATGTTAGCTTGTTAGTTTACCGCAAACTGATGTGGTTGTTTAGGGGCATCTCGAGTGCTACAGATCGATTGCATTGCAGTCATATGTGAGGTGTGTGCTAATTATTCAACAGGATTACGCTTGCACTCCGGTGCATTCATTTTTAACTAATTTACATAAGAAAACACACCACAAGATGGCCGCTGAATGCAATCGGTCTATTCCTGCTACTTTCTGCCCTTGATACTTGAACCCAGGGCCTCCCGCTAGGTTTGCAACGTGCAGTCCACCTCAATGTCCATCACAAGTCCAGCGAAGAAGCGAATTTCTCCCAAAGCACAGTACTAATAACTATTACAATGTTTAAAGCTTCTGCGAATTTCCATTTTCATGGGCAAAACTGTGAAGTCATTCCGAGCAGAAACCTCAATGTTACAGCCATTTCAGCACAAAATGATGTTAGAATTTAGATATTTGCTGTCCTAGTGTTTCTTTAATTTTTTGTGTTTGTACATGGCAGTACGCCAGTAAGTAAATATTTCTCACAAATTTATTCAATGAGCAAAACGTTGGGTTCACAATTTGATCAGAAGGCCCCTAAACTGGACTGTACCTTCCCGTTACGGTATCACAGCAACAGCGCCCTCAGTTGTCCAGAAAAAGTATGGAACATTTGTAATGATTAAAGAATTGAACTTTTCGATAAAATTAACGAAAAAGGGATGTCAAATAGCATTCATACAAAGTCATTACATGAAAAAGTCATTACATGAAGCCTTTGAGCAAACTCCATTTCACAGACAGACTACAGTTTATGCACTATGGGCCTATATTCTAATGCCTGTGCATGAATGACCATGGCAACCCTAGTGTTAATACTAATAATATCTAATATTTTATTCGGCAGATTGACATATATACACACAATTACAATAAATACATCAAGTTTGATATTAAAACAAAAAGGATATACAAACAATAAGAAACCAAGTAAACACTACACACGAAAGACAGAAAGTGGACAGTGCATGGCTGCCAAGGAGAAGAACAAAAGTGAAACAAAATACTGTCGCCGATAGGGCTCATCTCTCTTTGGAGGAAGAACCTAGTCATTTTTTTAAAGGAATGATCCAATTTGGTTATAATTATTGTTAAACCCTCTTGTCCTTTTCCAAATGACCTCCACTCTATCATTAACCCATTAAATGAAATCGGCAATTACATGCATATGATTTATTTCTTAAATAGAGAGTCTTGCTCTACACAAAATGATAGCATTTTGTACCCGACTTCAATTACAAGTCAAAATGGCTACTTTAGAAGTCAACACAGCTTATGGGTAAACATTAACCTGTTATATTTGTCGCCAAAAGAACGTGCAGGTCAGATGCAATGCCGTACCCTCACACCATTTGAGTAAGTCATTGGAAATAAGTTGAAAAACATGAATTCTGGACCTTGACAAGTTTCCAAATTTGTAAAACAAATTCTCTGTTGTGATTCCCGATAGACCATGTACAAAACCCAGATTAATCTGTAAGTTGGTGTGACCTTGCTCCATGGTATGACTAGGGTGCATTCAGGCACCCCACGTACCACCATAATAGCCCATCCAGGGGTTGTACACAACACACAAACGTTGCCTAACCTTCGCGAACGATTTTCATTGGATAGGCATCATAAAAGTTGCCTGACGCACCCCACAGAAAGTGAATGGTAACTTTAACCTTGCATAGAAAGTTAAAATTTGCATACTTCTGATAGGTAGCTGTACGGTCGACTGCAAATCAACAATAAATAACCAGGTACCACAAATGAGACTTAAGCCGCGCTTCACTTATACATGTACATGTACAAGGAACCGTGGCCCTTGGTGAAGCCAGCCGCGCTAGCCCCACTCTGTACCAAGACCCAGCTCAATCCGTGCGCTCAATCGCCATACACACTTCTGCTACTGGATTAAAGTACGGGAAAAATGTTGTCTGGGCTGCTTGTCTGCGTGTTGGTGGTGGGGGCGGTGGCTTCCAAACCCGGTATGCCGAGCGGAGCCGCTCGCGGTGGCCTTCAGGTTGGTCAGGAGGAACCAGAGCGCTGCTGCGCTCCACGCTACTTCACAGCGGATCACTGTAAGTAATACAGTCTAAGCCAGAATATTTTATTAAAATGCGTGCTAAATTTGGTGTTAAATTTGTACTGTGATTTATTAAGCACTTTTTGTAGAATGAAGTACATTTGAGGCCACATTTTTTGGCCTCACATTATAACCTCAATGATGGTCAATCAATGCAAATACAAATGTACGTTTAAAACTCTGGATTGGGAAAGATTCCCATATCTGGCCATCACTAATTTTTCCCTTCGGTGACCTATCAGCCATCAGGAAGTGATTGCGACCTAAAAAGTCGAATTTAGCAGGGAAAATATAAGTTTATACTGAGAAAACACTTGGAATGTTCAGACATGTCTCATACGATTTGTGCACAGGGTGACGAGTGGTGGCCAGATATGGAAAACTTTCCCTGGAGAGATTTGACATAACCATCGCAATGTATGAAGTATCCACCATTCCCTTTGCCCTTAATAAACGCCTTCTACTCTGTCCCGGTCTTACTTCCACCTTTCAAACCTTTTTGCTCCCCTCCCTCCCACGTTTGCCTGTCCCACCCTCCTTCTTTCTCCCTCTATCCCTCTTGGCCTTCTTAAGCTCCCAAAGCGTCATCGTAGCTTTTTACGCTTGTGGAAATATTAAACTCTTCTATTTTCGTAAGCCTCACATTGTCTTAATGTCTTGAGCTCGATCATGTTAATTTCCTACCGTTGCCCTGTTTACTGTTCAATTATACTGTGTACCGTGTCATTGACTGCAATAATGCTGCCTTAATGCTGGTTACTCTGGATTGAAAAAAAGCCTTCATTTATGCATGTGAATTTTTGACAAACTTCTTGCAGTTTTGACCTCAACCACTGTCAAGGAGGGCAAGCTATCGGTTGAGATTGACGAAGTCAATGGGGCTTACGACGCTGTGTTCGAGCGACTTGCTCTCAAAGTCGTGGTCGATTACCTAAATGGGACAGAGGTCCACCTGAAATTCATCGGCTTGTACGAGGAGGTGAGTGTGGTCTGGCAACAATCAAATAGTCAAAAAACGTGGCTTTTTATAAAGATCTGAAGAAAGAATGTAGTATAAGTTGTATGACTGCACGGCGGCACACACAAAAATGCTTACTGTAGGTACATGACTTGTGTAGTTTCAAACTAATGAAGTTTTACTTCACAATACGTAAAACAAAAATGAGAAAAATGCTGGGGTACCGGTGTCATAATGAAAATCGGACTCGTATGAAAATCGGACTCTTTTTCCCTTTTATTGGTTAAACCCTCTCACGTGACCAATCCCTCTCCTAATTATCTATGCATGAGCATGCGCAATACCACCAATGAGTCCGTATTTCATGAAAACCTTAATTTATGGTACACCGGCAAACGTCGGGCATTGACGTGATTGGCTTGTGACAATTACACCTGAACTTTTGTGGAATACTGTCCATAACTATGTGGACCCCAGATGACAGTCAAAACGAAATCTTTAATAAACCATCTGTATAATGTTCAGGTCAATTAACCGATAGTAATCTGACTACCTCTATAACTGCTACTGTAAAGGACGATTTAAACTTTATATTCCTCCCGTTGTTTTCATATTGGTAGGGTGTCACCTACACCATCTTGGAGCATCAGGGGGAGAGTGTCTGCTTCAAGGGGGAGACACAGGAAAGATTTCATGAAGACTGTCTGACCGGTAAGTACTGTTGTAACACTTGCATGGGTTAATGCTTTAGCACAGTTCTTGGGGAGGAGTTGTGGGGGTAGTGACATTTTGGCGGAGGTAATACAAAATCTGAATAACATTATTGTAGTCCGACTACAATCACAAGGGCAAACGAACCATCACAAATACAATTCTGGCCCCTCTGCCGGTAATTTAAAAGTGTGCACATTAAAATTCTACCGTCCACATTCGTCAGCATAGGCCTAAATAAGACATTTTCAGAGCCGCGGGATAAACGTATAAGCCTCAAAATGTAATACAGATCAGTCAAGTCAAATTAGTGAAACCACTACTTCAGCTGCGACCCATCAAAAATATTATGACGATTCCAAACCTCAATATCAAAAAAGTCTCGTTTTCTACATTATCTGCTTAATCTGACCATGCCACAGAGGACTTCAAATTTATCGGCAAGACAACCCTGGGTGATTTTGATATGGTCGTGGAGAACTGGTACAGAGTCAGCGAGGACGGGACCGCGCATACAGTCAAGAGCGTTCAGGAGGAAGGCTGTACACCTGTCGGCGCACTGACCCGCATGTTGGACTCAGTCACAGGTAATAACCGGGGGCCCGATTTCATGGACCTGGTAAGCACAGAAATCAGCTACGAGCACCGACAATATTTGCTTATAATGTAGGGGCCAATGTCATGAAGCTGCTTCGCAGACAAAAAAAAGCTGGCTTATAAAAGTAAGTTACCAGCCAAAACGCCATGTGGTTTTCATGCTGAGCAAACAACAGCTGAATACCAATCACAAGCAATAGACATCATACGGAGTTTTGGCGGGTAACCTGCTTTCTTAAGCCAGTGTTTTTGTGTGTGTGCTGAGCAAATTTTTGTGCTTTTCTATGAGTTTGGCCGCAGGGTACCAGCCACAAATTGCCTGCGACTTAAAAGGCCATGTTCTTGAACTGAGAGGGCGCTTTGAGTTATGATCAGCAATGAATTGAAAATAATTCACGAGTTCACACATTCCAACAGCTCAAAAACTTTGTTTTCGTTTCAATGCCTATAATTTGTAAGCTTTACGTAAAGGTACTAAATTGTTTTAATGAACGGGCTTTTTCTTGTATTGGTAGCCAGAAAATGGCGTCGTTACATACAGATCGGCTTGTATATTGTCTATCGGACCCAAGTGATATTTGCTTGACGCACAAATAAGCGAAGCAATTTTTCCCGCTCAGCATCTCCAATGTGAACTCATGTGGAGTATGACAGACACGGTATGAGGGCTTCCTATTGCATCTGCCATATTTCAAAAATATTTCTAATGGACCTTGCATGCAGTGGCCAATTTAACAAACAGAAAGAAAAAACATTGCTAAGCAGTAGGCTTAAGACGAATCCCAAATTAGCATTGAGACCGAGACTCTCAGTGCTAAGCCATTGTATGAATTGAGGACCTTTTTGTTTAATCCTCTCAACAAAAGACAGGGCTGATGCCCTCGGTTTCAGTGAATATTTGAAATGTGTCTATTGTGTCAAAATATTCCCTACTGTAGCTGTATGAATTGTACACCGATGCTCTAACAGCAGTTTCATTAGGACAAATCAATTTTTAAAATTAGCCAAATCACAAGTCATGTCACCAGTACCAGGGAATGAACAGTAACCGAGGATTCCTTTGTCACATTGATAAACTAGTCAGTTGACTTGGAATTGGATGTGTTTGTGATTGACTTGCTATCAATGGCGGAGAGCCATGGTCTATGATAGGTGAGCAGATTCGTTGATTAATTATGCAAGACAACCGCCTTTTGACCTCTAGATTTTGGCCAATCAGTGGGTGCTTTCTATATGAGATCTTCAGTCATTCATCCGTTGTCGCGTATTTTTATTTAGACATGGATGGGAAAAAAACCTAGACACGGCAGCAAAGGCTGTAGTCAGTGCTCTTATGTTACACGATAGGCGCAAGCTTGTCTAGGTTTTATCGATCTATATGCCCGGCCGTTATTGTTGTATTACAAAACACTACATTCGAATTGACCAATCAAACATTTTAGTCCCGATTTGGGAATGAAACGACGTCACGATTTAGTAAAGTGGACTCCGATTGGCTGAGGCGCGGGATCGCATAAATCTGCGTGCTTAGACACATCAGACGTTTATACAGGAGACTGGGCTCCGTGGATAGTGGGTGATATCCAGACAAATCATTGCCCGGTGGTGACTTCAACCCCGTGAACTCTGACCTTTGCTGTGGTTTCTTACAGGAGACGAAATTGCTGTTCTGGAAGCCAGAACCTTCAACTTCGAACTGGGAATCTGCGATCCGGAGGAATTCAAACCCCCAGAAAGCTGTGACGAGGTGAGTCATACAAAATATAGACATTTTGCATGGAAGTCATCTTGGAGGTATACGGTGCGGGAGGTGCTGCCATCTTAAAGGTGCAGTCATCTTTGCGATGTTTTTGTGAGGGATACGAGTTGACCTGTTTGGCATTCATTGTGGATGGGTTCATATAACTAAATGAATAAGTCATAAGATGGCTTATCCACAGGGTCCATTGAATATAACGTGTCATCTGATGTCTTCATGTAAACTTTGAGTTGTCGCTTCAAGTTGAATATCATCTAATCGAAGAGAATACATAGCGCTCATGAATTCGGTTGCTGGGCATGCACTGTGTGTGCTGCATGTAATGTACTGATACCAGCATGCACAAGGCAGAAATGGCTGTCAATTGTCATTCAATATATCAACACTTACTCATTTTGACCATTGAGGGGGTTACTCGCTCACAGAGTCCAGGGGGGAAAAGAAGCACATTTCTCAATTTCTCAGAATGCAAACAGTGTTCAGGGACTGAATGGATGTGAGGAACCCGCTTCAGAACCATTGACAATAAAGCAGGGCTCTATCCGCTCACACTTTTTATTTCAATGGGCTTTTTTAATCAGTTGTCTGCATTTTCCTTTATTTTTTTCTGCAGGGGCGTGCTTTGAAGAAGCCCTCGCCAGAGATGGTCAAGTTCCACAGCAAGAACATTCTCGGCCGCCTTTAAACTTCCCTCACAAATTTGAAGGGGAGGTTCAAGACCAATTTTGCTTGTTGAAGTAATTATAGTTCCAATCCCAGCTTTTGCTTAGTTAGGCTAAATGTATTGGAAATTGAGATAATTATATTTTTCCGGACAATCCCCATTATTAACAACATTTTTGTGTTAACTGAAATTCATTCGGTGCAGTTTTGAAGCGCAAGGGATCGTCGTATAGGAGTTATTCACTCATTTGAATAAGAAATGAGAAATCGTATCACAAAGCTACTGGATTTGTATTAATAATCGTTGACTTACCACACTTATCTCTACAAAAAAAACAACATTATTTTTTTTAAGTAGATTAGGTAACTCTTTTGGTGTTGGCAGTTATGTTTTTTTCCTTTGGTAATTCATGTCATTCCAATGTGACAGCTTGACGTTCTCTGTGTAGCAATAGGCCTACTTTATCATGAAATAAACTTTTTAAAATAGCTTTACCGCAACTGAAGCTTCATTTGTTAATATTCTCTTCTGCTTGTACGTGTGCCCCTTTTGTACCCCTATCGTTCATTGCTTACAATAGCTCAAACTGAACCTTTTAAATCTCCAACTCTTTTCCAAAATAAGCAAGGGTCTTAACGTTTAACTGCAGGAAGTAGACCAAGCTTTACCCATCTTAAACATTGGCTTTTTCCATGCCCCCATGCTTCCCCCTCACGCCTGTATTAATAAGCACTCTCATTTTCGAGACTTGCATATGCAACCATATGTCTTCATTTATCCTCCACACACAAAAATGGGCCCAAAGTGTACCCGTAAAACAATTAAGCAAAACATTCAAGATAAAGAAATGAGAGAGTATTTGTTCAAAATGACTTACTATATGGCACATGTGCTGGGTTGATTTGCGTGGGTATATCCCATATTCAAGAAAAATGGGGCGTTGTCAATCCCATTATGACCCAGCTCCTGTTGACGGCTGTTTACTGGCGGTAACCTAAATTTCTCTGCGCCCTCATTGGACAGATTTTCTATTACCACTGACCTGGATATACATTTTTTTTCCGTGTGCGCACAACACGTGCGCACGAGTATGCCTTGCATTCTTAATGGCAGGTACCCACATTGCATTGTGAAGTCTGCATTTTCAGCATAGAATATATTGCATGCAGAATATGGGCGCCAATCAGATGGGGTATCGGTCGAACGATTTAATTGGTTCGCTCGTGCCCGCGCCCTGCAGCGGTGGGATAAAATGGTTAACAGAATCTTGTTAAGGAAGTACGGATGGTATTCTGGGTAAACTATCATAGCCTTCAATTTTGGGTATATAGACTAGACAATTACATTCACACCAAAACAAAATCACCTCCCGAAAAGTGATAGTTCTCATGCCTGCATGTAGCCACTTTACAAGTGGCATCCTTCCATTTTCTCAAGCAAAAAGGAACCATTTTTCAACCGTAATTTTATTAAGCCTGTCCTCAGATGGAAGCCAAAATAACAGGGAGTTGATCCTTGGGTATATTTACACGAATCCACCGTTTTTAAAGCCCAACGGTCTCCGTTTTCAAAAGAAGTTGTGGGGCCACTTGTTATGCTAATGAGCTCGCATGGAAAATCTCACGTGAATTGGTGCACTGAGCTGGAGCGAGTTTGTGCACTGCATTCTACGTCACAGGTCACGCAAAATCTATCCAATCAGAGCTCACAGAGATCAGCAGTTCCGAAGCGTCCTGTTTGCAGAGCATGCAAGGTGTACGAGCGTATATCACTGGTTGTTGTTAAGTTTTTGACTGACGCGTTAGGGCGGTATTTATTGCATACGGTCGCAGAACAGAATAGGAAAACCCTAATTTAAATTGGGCAAGTTCCATTGAAGACTTTTGGTGGGTTGAACATTGACTTTTTGAGATGTTCTCATCCAAAGAAGAACACCTCACAAATGAATGATGTGTTTTCCAAAATGAAAAAAATAGCTTTTTTGAAAAAAAGGATCTCCCAACAACATGGCTAAATAGCACCACTTTTGGGCGTCATTTCGATCAGAAATGTGGACTAAGCTGTTCATCGATAAATTTGGCTGACGGCGGTTACGGAAGGCGCCCGCTGAATGGTCAGAGTCTCGAGATCAAGATGCATAATTGTTTTGCATAATAGATCGCCAAATCTGCATGCATTTTATACAAACTTGCTGTCCAAGAGGATGTTTTCCATAGGCTACCTTAGGCCTAGCTCCAAGAAGAAAACTACCTGTAAATAGCGGTTCTTTTATACTGCGCGTGCGTAATGGGTGACCCAAGATAATTGGGCATTAACAAGAATTCTACTTCATGTAGGGCCTGTGAAACAAGCTGTGTCAAAAAAAAACCCAAAAAAACAATCTATTAATGTGCAACATCCGAGATGTCACGATGACGTCTAGCGTCTTCGATTGATTTTTTAATTTTTTAAATATTTCATTTTTATCACATAAGTAGCACTGTTTTTACTGAGTTCGAGTCTGAATTTTACACAAGCTAATGCCACAATAATTATGTGCACTGACAAGTGCCGTCGTCATGACGTCATCATGGGCTTTGTGACGTCGTCATAAAGGTTATGCATTATTCAAAGTCCTATATCAAGAGAAATACCATGTCAATTGCGTTGAATTTGTATTTTATAGATAGGGATATGTTATATACGAAAATTGAGGTGACGTCATCATGACAACATTATGTGATTTTATATAGAATGTTGACGTTTTGATGATTCATGCCTTATCGATAGTGTTAATCGTTTTTGATAAACAAATAACATAAATGCAAATGGATGTACGAAAATATACGTAACGCATAACAAAACGAATCGAAAAGAAACGCAAATAGTGTACCTATTTTTAAAATAATTTCTTAATTTAGTTTATATGTAGCGTTTCCAAATGTAGGATTATGAAAGCCCAATTAATAAGCTTTCTTTTAGTGAAATATTTATTCAAATTGCTCATGTACTTATTTCCAGTTATGGAATATTTTGAACACAAATACCGTTGTTTAACCTTGTCCACGGATCACATTAAAGTACGTGATATTTCAGTAAAAATTAAACCATATCGTATCCTGAAAATGATATCAGAATAATCCCGTAAATTAAGCCCCCTGGTAGCCAAGTAGAAGGCATGGCAAGACTATAAACTCTTGACATTGTAAAGCATGTTTTTTCTACATTGGAAGCAGAAGGTTTTTCAATAAAATGTTATGATAAGTGTCAGTTATCTTGGTTTAATGAGAGTGTTCAGATGTGTATTTTTTTTTATATGTGAATGGTTTTCGTTTTGCTGAAATATCACCTACCTTTATTGGGATTTAGTGTGACCAGGGTGCGATCTGCATGGCAGCCCATGCATCACTATGATAACCCATCCGTTGCCAAACCTTCATTAGATATGATCATAAAAGTTGCTGGACGCACCTCGCAGATGGGAATTGACCTTGCATAGAAAATTGAAATTTGAATACAGATCCGTCGCTTCTGATTTGTTTTCAGGTAGTTGTATAGTCGACTGCAAATCAACAATTGATAATCAGGTACCACGACCAAGTGCTCTTGGTGAGGTCAGCCGTGCTAGCGACACTCTGTACCCGGAACCAGCACGGTCCGTGCGCTTAATTCGCCGTATACACTGCCAATGTGGGATACATATTAAAAAAAAGTACGGGATAAATGTTGTCTGGTCTGCTAGCCTGCGTGTTGGTGGTGGGGGCCTTGGCCTCCAAACCCGGTATGCCGACTGGAGCCACTCGCGGTGGCCCTCAGGATCATCATCAGGATCATCACCATGAACCACAGAACTGCTGCGCTCCACGCCAATTCACATTCGACCAAGGTGAGCAATGCAGTCAAAGCCACGATATAATTGCGTGTGAACTTTGGTGTTCAATTCAATTCTACTTCCGGTATAGAATGCAGTACATTGAGACAACTTTTTTGGCCATCTCATTATAACCTCGGAAAGAACGTGGTATCCTGACGCCACCTCTTTGGTTGTGTACAAAGTCTATGACGAGTTGAGATCACTTTCAAAATAATTTGTAACAAAATTGGAAATATTTCTCAGTCTCAGATTCATGTCTTTTCAACAAAATTTGCAATTGATTGACCTTTATTGAGATTTTTTATGATGAAAAAAAGTTGCGTCAGGATACAACATTCTTTTCTTATAACCTCAATGATGATTAACAATTATGTGTAAGACTCTGGATAGGTTTAACATAAATGCACCGCAGTGTCGTTATAAAATATCCACCATTCCCTTTGCCCATATACACGCCTCCAACTTTCCACCCCTGCCTCATGCAGTCTTACTTTCCTCCGTCTTTGCTCCCCTCTATCCCCGTTTGCCTGCCCCCCCCCCCCCCTTCTCACGCCCGTATCTGATAAACTCTTCGATTTTCATAAGTCACACATTGTCTTGATGAGCTCCATCCTGTTAAAGCTACAGTCCATCATTTGCAGCTATCCGAAAAGTAACTGGCGTAATTATTGTTAAAAAACATACTTGGTTGAAAGATAGTAAGGGGACTAAACTCTCTGTGAAATGATTCTTTCTGGCAAGCTGTCGTTTTGAAGTAATCAACGAAAGAAGGCCTTTCCAACGGTGCGTCTTAAGACGCACCGTTGGAAATTTCCGATTGTAGTTCGTTTTTTATTCGAAAAGTAACTGACGCAGTCAAAGAGTACACAAAGGCAGCAGTCAAAGAGTGCACAACTAATGTGGCAGTTTTTGAAAAGATTTTGATTTTCAAATGTTGTCTACAATTAATGCACTGCGGCACAAAAATGCTTATTATGAGAGGTTTTAAACTTGTGACATTTACCGTACAATACGTGCAAATAACATGAGAAAGATGCTGGCACGACGGGAATGTGATTTGTGACAATTACACTTGAACTGTTCTGAACACCACATCTTTGGCCCCCATATGACAGTCAAAACGAATTCATGAGTCATCTGTAATGTCCACCCCATTAAACCAATTTTAATTTGACTATCCTTCTATAACTGATGTTAATAAGGGAATTTATGTGTGTTTAGGTGGATTTAAACACTCTCTTTAAGACCGGTTGGAGTCTGGATGCTGATAATTACCTGATCTGAGGGCCAGGGTAATTATCAGCGTCCAGACTCTAACCGGTCTTAAACATAGTGTTTAATACCGGCCACGCATTCCCAATCATTAATACCTTTTCGGTCCAAAAGTCAAAACAAGTCAATAAGACCAGCCGGTCGGTCTTTATCATCCGTTTAAGACCAGCCACGTGACGGGCTCTAAACCAATAGGAATGGGTAAACGGTAATGATGATTTACACTTTTGTTTTGTTCACGTTAATTTCATATTGGAAGGGTGTCTCCTACCTCATCCATGAACATCCAGGGGGAGTGTCTGCTTCAAGGGAAAAATCGAGGGAAATTTCCCCCTAGACTGTTTGACTGGTAAGTCGTGGTACACTGTGTGTTAATGCTTGGGCATATAGGTCTAGCTTAGGAGTTGTGGGAGCGGGGTAGTGAGATTATGGGAAAAAGGTAGTCCACAATCTAGATAACGCCGTAACATACTGCAGTACTAGTCCGACTATAACTCTAGTTTGAATTTTTTTTTAAGTATGCCAGACAATATTACGGGGGCGTAATTCGAAGTGGGTAAATATTTGTGTGGATACAAAAACATTACCCAGTCTAAATTACCCAGTCCTCTTGTTGTGTCCGCCATACTTCAGAATGGTAGTCTGGTTCCCTGTCCCCATTGTCATTCAGATATCAAATATGGGGACAGGTAGCTAGCAGCGAACCTGACCACATCAGGAGGCATTCCTTCTGATGTATGCAAATTATATGCATGACGTACATAGGTCTGAATCCCGCCTCGTGAATTCAAAACCACAACGGTAAGGGTTTTGATTAGCAGTATAGACGAATCCCAAATTAGCACTGAATTATTAAACCGAGGCTCTCAGTGGTAAGCCATTGTATGAACTGAGGACTTTTTTTTAATCCTCTCAACAAAAGACAGCACCGAGGACCTATAGGCTTCAGCGCAAATTGAAATTCCTCTATTGTGTGAAAAAATTCCTTATGTGGTTGTGTGGATTGCACTAGACTGTTTCCCGGTGCCCCCCCCCCCCCCTAGAAATAGGGGACTGGTAAATAGCTCCCCATTTAAAGCCAATTGGTTGGATCACCACTTGAAGACGTGGTTATAAAAATAACTCACTCGTCTCTTACCACAAAAAGTACGCAATATCGCCAGTGTCTCCATAAAGACAACTTTCCAACTGCATAGGTTTTAAATACTGAACAGTAATGCCCCTCTCTGATAGTTACGAGAGACACTTTCGAATTCAGCAACATCGAAGCTCATTGCCTCCGAAATTATACATTCGTGGCCTATTGCCTATTTTGCAATGGGCTGGTTGTGCACAAACATTACCGTTAATTGTTATTTTGAATGAATACCAGGAGGCGGAATTCAGACTTATATAATTATGTCATGCATATCATTTGCATACATCACACGGAGTTCTGTGTAATGTATGCAAGACTCACCGCTGGTTACCAGACCCCAATTTTGAAGTCCGAAAGTCAATGAGGTCAGGGAACCAGACTAGGATTGCACATCGTGATTGACTTGATATCATTGGCTGCGTGACTTCAACCCCGTGAACTCTGACCTTTTGCTGTCGTTTATTTTACAGGACGGGAAGTTCGCCTAGTGGAATCCAGAGTCTACAACATCAGAATGGGAATCTGCGATCCGGATGAATACTTCAAGCTCCCAGAAAGCTGTCACGAGGTGAGTTATATACAAATACCGACCTCGTCACCGGGGATTACTGTATTTTCAACCTCGTTTCCAATAGTGAGCCCTTGGATGGGAACTTGCTTCCTGTATCCTGATTCGATAGCGCAATTAGCAGGTAATGGTTTTATATCGTGTACTTGGTGTTGTTAAATGTTATTTCCAACGTGTATTACGTGTTTTCATGTTCATTGTTGTTATGACGTCCACACCTTCTCAAAAATAATAATTTCCTTTGGATGATATGAGAGTGCAGTTAGTGGTGGGAGCGTACTGCTCGACACCCTGGAATCGAGGTTGTACAAATACAGTTGTGTCATCTTAGAGGTACAGCCATGAACTTGGTGTGCTTTTGTTCCACATGCAAACTATGAGTTCACTCCTTCTTTCGCCATTGATTGTGAATGACTTCAAATAATCAAAACAGCAAAGATGGCCGGTGTATATGCACAATTCGCATTGAATATACTATACATGTAGTCCTAAATGTCAATGTTCAGTTGTCGCGTGGAGTTTTCTATCGTAGAGAACACGGTAACCCATCGTGATTTTGCTTGGTGTGAGTAACATGCTTCAAAAGCATTGACAATAAAGCGTGGCTCTATTCACTATTCACTCCCAACATATAGTTCAATGGACGTTGATTATTTTTCTATATTTTGATCTATTTTCCGCAGGAGCGTGCCTTAAAGGAACACACCCCAGAGATGGTGAAGTCCCAAAGCAAGAGCTTTTTCCACCGCTATTAAACGTCGCTCACAAATTTGAAAGGAGCTCCAAGACCAATTCTGATTATGGAAATAATCTAGTTTGACTAAAAGACTAAATGAGACAAGTATATTTTCTAGACATGAATAATAAATTTATAATATACATGTACTCTTGTTAATTGAAATACATCTGGCGTATAGCGCAAGGGATTTCGTTTATTCACTCATTAAGAAGTGAGAAATTGTACACTCTAAATAAATTTGTGTTGAGCAATTAAACACAATCTCTCTATCATTTTGTAAACATTTTTAGAAGCTAGACACTATGCGTTCAATTCCTAAATATCGTTGTTCAATTGCGAAACACTATGTATCCTTACTCGAAACATGTTGGTATTTTTAAACATGCTTACAAACTGATAGCAAGAAAGTGTTTAGAAAAGTGTTCAATTGCTGAACAACTAAAAGCTAAATTCGTATTCGTTGGCCTAACCACACTTAACTTTATTTGTTTTTATTCATGTAGATTAGGAAACAAATATTGTTGATGTTGGCAATTATGTTTTTTGTTTTTTTTCTTTGCATGGTCATTCACGTCCATGTGCTACATGTGACAGCTGCAAATAATCTGTGTAGCGATACCTTTTTCGTAAATTAAACTTTTCCTAATAGCTTTACTGCAGCTGAAGCTTAATTGTTGATATCCTCTTTCACTTCTATGTGGGCCCCTTTTTGTAACTCTATCATTCAATGCTTATAATGACTCAAACTCTTCTCCAACACATGCTAGGCATTTTACCTGCAAAGGACAGCTCAAAAGACATCCCAAACATTGACTTTTTGCCATGCCCCAGGGCACCCTTTGCTTAGTATTCTCATTTTCGTGTCTTGCATAATTAATGCAACCATCCAACCTTCCATGTATTGCCTTCGTTCATCAAAGAAAAGACATGATTGGGCTCAAAGTGAACCCCTCAAACCATTTAGCAAATGCAAAATAATCAACAATATGGTTTTCGTTCAAACTAACTTACTTTATACTTCCGTGAACATATCCTGTTTAAGAAACCAAGCGCGGGCGGATTCGTGTATTATGAAACAAAATATGCAAACGATTTTTAAGATTTGAGGGTTTGTTTTCTTCTGAGGAATTCGTTGAATTCGTTTTATTGGGAATTGGGATGCATGCCTTTAACGGTCTCATTCAAAATTCAAAACAGAGAGGGGCTTTAAGATATAGATGCGGGTGAAGTGACAACGTGCCTGGATGGCCTAAATATTTGAACATCGGTCGAGGTCTCAGACCGATCGCCACATCGTCACTGTGATGCCAATGTTTTATGTACGTGATGAATGGTCTTGAATGTCAATAGGCCACACTAGTGTCCAAGCTTACAGGGTCATACCTCCTGTGGATGTTAAACCCATTTGTACCTTATTACAATGTATAGAATCTTTAACAGTTACAATGATTATTATATCTACAAGCATTATGTTGTACGGATGGAAATAAAACAAACAAACAAACACCCCAGCTTACCTAACCCTATATATTACTTATATATATATTAAGAAACTCAGAAGCATAAGAAACCGCCAGCATTCTCACACCTATGGACGGCACAGCCTCTCATCAAGCGCAGCCTTGCAAACATTATCCCTTGCAAGAGGGATCTTTTATATACAGCTCGTTTATTTCTCAAGATCTCAGTTCACGGACCTCATCACTCCTTTCCCACCTTGCATCCTAATCATCCCTCCTTGATATTCCCTCTCGCATCCATTCATCTTTCACGCTCCACTTCCCCAAGACGCTATGCATGGCGAAGGCATCCCCGTTCGAGACGTGTAAGGTTGCCGGGCGCATTGTTTTTCTTCTGCCGCGTAGAATAGTCGCCTACCATTATTCGCATGCGTAAAACATTTCTTGTAATTTAGACGATGGTGCTTTGGGAGGACTCTATAAAGTTTACATTATTTTTTTTCGGCTCAGATCGAAGCAACTCCGTGGCATTGTAGCTAGTGATATTTCTGGATATACTGGATGCTGTGAGATGGAATTCCAGTATTTATTTTTTCCTGTTCCTCAAAATTAAGTCCTATTTTCCAATGAAATAAATTTAACCTTGTATTTTCTATTCATAGTTTTCAAGGTAATTGTTTCAGGGTAAGCGAAGCCCAAGAACTACTACAGTAACAACTGACGCAAGGGCATATTATGGTCAGTGACTATACAAAATCGTAATATAAAATTGCGGTCGCAAAGTCGCAATATAAAATTGCGGTCGTTGCTGATGGCCGAGTGTCCCCAGCGTATTTCTCCCAGGAGTCGGCCCCGCGTGATATAAGATTCTCGGTGTCTGTCACATCCAGTAGACTTTCCCCGGTAAGCCACTACTTACCGTACGAATAAGAGATAAAACAAAGCGAACATTACACTCCCCTGGATCGAGAAGAGCACGGTCGCCTTTCAGTCAGCTCATTACCCTGTTATAATTTCAATAAATCAGTAATACATTTATAAAGTTCACAAGCTTGTGTCCATAAACCTACAATGTTAACTGTAATGACTTTGACAATGATGCGAGAGATCATACAAAATGTTCTTATGCGAGTTATCCTCTGGAATGGTAACAGCCCGTCCCTATCACTCCCGCATCTCAGGTTCTTCACACCTTTCGGATCTGTCAAGACGCGATTCCCTGAGACTCATATCTGCGCAAGGAGGACACCTTTTCTTCACTGTACTGACTCTCAGCACTGGTTATTAGAGACCTTCGCCGTCAACCGTATTCAAATTCAGGTGACATCGCAACGATGAGAAAACAGCCGTCACGGTATCAGCGCCTTTAAGATTCCGCTAGGATAACTAGGCATTGTGTCACATTCTTCGGGGGATATCCACAGTTTACTTCGGTCTCTCCTGGTCGGGCAAAGGATGAAGAATACCAGTCTGTTGTTGCTGACCATCTGGTCGGTGTTTGGGGCCTACTTGGGCCTCTTACTGACCAGCGTGGGCACCTTTACGAACCAATGGGTGTTCACCTCGGAGGAGAGACATCTTGACTTCCACAACGGCACCCTGAGGATCACCATGGACATGTACTCAGGGCTGATGGAGTCGTGCAGGATAGGAGGTAGGTAAAACGGACAGGTATAGAGACAAGCGTAGTCAAAACCTTTAAGATGTAGGTGTCTGCGTATTAATATTTTGATGGTTTTTTAGTTTGATGGTTCAGTGTATTTAAAGTGTCACTGAAGAAACTAACGGAGACATTTCATAGTGCAAGACTATTCAGTAATCAGCATTGTCTTCGTGAAGTAGTGGGGCAGATAGGGGAAATATTAAGGGGAATTGTGCCTTTGATGATACAGGCATGGATTTGACACAGAGTCAGAGTATGTTATGAGGTAGCCCCCTAAATGTGGCCTATTTACTTGACTGCCTCCGTAAACATAGGCCACACGTCCACATGTACAACAATCGTGTCAACTCTGCCAAATTTTGATTTTCACATTTAGGCTTAGTTTGTAGGATTTTTTTGCTTTAGAAGCATACTCACCCACTTTATAGGCTAGTCAGAAAGTGCTGCCTTTTTCAGATGTCTAATTTTTGTGAAATTTCATGTTGAAATTTTGATACGCACACGTGTAAAAATGAATCTGGAAATTTCACGAAAAATATACATCTGAAAAAGGCAGCACTTTCTGATTAGCCTATAAAGAAGGTGAGTATGCTTCTAAAGCAAAAAAAACCCTACAAACTATAAAGCCTTAATGTGAAAATCAAAATTTGGCAAAGTCGACACGATTTTTGTACATGTGGGACGTGTGGCCTATGTTTACGGAGGCAGTCCAGTAAATAGGCCACATTTATGGGGCTAGTCATGAGGAAGATAATTGGCTATAGGGACCTCGCGGATTTGTCCTTTGAAAATAATAAATTTAGAATAACAAGCAATTTTCAAAATTGTCAAAATGGCTGCCATTGCTTGTTATATTACCTATAATATTTTAAACGACAAATCTGCGATGGCCCTGTAGCCAAATATCTTTCTCATGACATACTCTGACTGTGTGCCAAATTCCATGCTTGTATCATCAAAGGCACAATCTCATCACCTATCTGCTGTACAAAAGGGCTTGGGGAGGGGAGAGGGAGCTTCCTCCACCCCAGGGTGGTAAAGTCAATAATGTACTGTTAAAGTCAATATATCCACAAGAAACTGCAAGAAGGGACTACAAATCGGCTTTGTACATCAATACATGGACACCAGTCAATTATAATATCCATACGTATAATTATTCGTATATCGTTTTGAACACAGAAAATAAAATTGCGGGACGCGTACGAAGCTATCTGTGAAAAGTAAGACCCTCTCAAAACTTCTAAATATTATTTATGATCATTGAACCGTCTAGCCAAATAAACAAGGGCCAAGAATTGCACAAGTCATGTAAATGTCAATAATTACATCATAATAATATAAATATCATATTGCTTGTGTACGTGAGTTTTAATTAACTGAAATTTAAACTACAGTATTTCCCCAATCGAATTTTTTTTATGTTCAATGGTTTATGACATTTTATGTAAATAGTAGATCCAACAATTGACGTCTTCAGAAAAAATAACATATTTCAGATAATCATGTGTTTTCTTAGTTTTAAAGATCATATTACAACTCCAGCCTCCTCTCAAAAAAGCAGCGATCAAAGGTCATGAGTCGGTCTATATATTTTTTTTTGGGGGGGGGGGTCGTTATACCAAGACGTGCTCTATCCTCATATTTTATTTCCTCTGTCGATTTGCTTTTGCATCATCCATTCTCCTGAGCGTATGATGTCATGGGAAATCTCGTCTTACCGTGGTGGCTGCGTCATTTATTATTTAGACCGACTTCGTGCTCCATACACATCAAAGTCTCGCTATGGTGTGCGCAAGCTGCATTTCAGAATAATTCAGTATCATTTTGTGTGCTTAATATTACACTTTACGTATGAAAATTAATGCGCATGCTAATCACATTTTAAAGCGGAAAATCACACATTATCTAGAAATTTATTCAAGTTTAATTCATTTCGATGATTTAAACTTATTTAAACTGACGATGATTTAAACTTAAGTATTATTGTGGTTTTGTTTTCGTATTTGAGGGTTCAAACTCTGTATAGTAGGAAAACTAAATTTTGTCCTGCCCTTTTAATCATTCGTTCAATGTAAACAAAGCAATTTTTGAGTGTATGTATCCATTTGCTTCTAATTTTGCGGCAGATTGCATTTCATAATTAGTCAGTGAAATATTAATTGGTTTTACGCATCAGTGAACCCTCGTCGAGATTGGATGACGCGTGCCCTAGACTAGCCACGGTCCTTTAAGGTTAAAATTCAACCTGTGAAATTATTGCAACCTTCTCTAGAGTGTTTCAAATATAATAAGGGGTAAAAAAGGCCTTTACGTATGAACATGTATGTTTCACATCGTGCAACTTGAATCGTTATTTTTGGAAAGAAAATCGTGTGAATCGTTTCCCCTTTTCACTTTTTAGTTTGAACAAAAAGTAGTTGATGACGCTGCAAATTTACCCACAAAGGTTTTTTGTCATCCATATGATTTTGCTCCTTTGTTGTTGAAGTTACATACAGGTGGGACTTGAAGGACGCATGGAGGCAAGTGGAGCCCAACTCGACTCAGGAAATCCTACCAAGACCTGGTAAGGATACCAGACCGCAGTGAGAATAATTAGGCCTCGTCCGAATTAGCTGGCTACGGCTTAATGTACTAACGTGTCTATGGTAGAGGCTGCAGCCACTTCCTATAGACTGGTGTGAATTTCAAGCCGTAGCCAATTGACCTCTTTATCCTGATTGGTCAATGAGGCCTTGAAGCAACCGGTCCGCCATCTTGAATCCCCAAACTGTCACGTGACTTTCAAATTTGTTTTTATATTAAAATAACTATTCTTCTTGTAATCATTTGCTCCTTGGATGTTGACAAGTCCTAGTTATGGTTTAAATCTCAAAAACTGGTCAGAAATTGCAATTCTTATTTTCGTCGCCTTAGGCCTAGTTTGAGGGGTCAGACATGCATGTGTGCAGAGCCCACGAACGAAGGTCTGATATACCTTGCCACGCAAATTTTATGCGACCCCGCGCGCCAGCCAATCGGAGTCGACTTTAGAAACTGTGACATCAGTTCGATCAGAAATCTGGACTTAGCTGTTGATTTGTCATTATTTGGCTGCCATGTTTTTGTAAAACAACACCGGTTACGGAAGACCTTATACAAGGCGCCAGCTGAATGGTCAGAGTGTCGCGGTCAAGATGCATTTTTGTTTTGCATAATTAATTGCCGAATCCGCTCGCATTTCATTGACTAATACTGTGCCAGCGGATATTTTCCATAGGCCACCTTATAGGGGTCTGTGAAGTAAGCTGTGTCGAAAAATATATGAAACTATTAGTCTGGGTCCAACTTGTTTTTTTCCCCTCTACTGGCCTAAGAAAGCATTACAACAGCATAAGGAAGTACAATAAGAAAAACAAATGAACCAGATCAAGGCACAAATCAATAACAATTAATATTTTTTTCGGTTGCCCTGTAGGCTCCCCTGCCTGCGTGAAAATCCGAAGTGTGCTTCCGGCCCCCGGCTCACCGCCTAAAGACATCACCTCAGCTGCACTAGGTAAGATGCACACTGGTATAGATCTAGCAGCCACAGTTTAGAAAACCATGAATGAGGTGCTACCACCGCATCCAATAATACTGCGATCAATATAGGGCGAGTCAGAATGATCTGGACCCACGTTCACCATTTTTCTTTGTGGCAAATAGAGTATATTGAGAGAAAATCTGAGTTTTTCGTATAAATTGTTTTTACCTTGCCTTCCACAGGAATTTTGAATTATTCAAATTAGTTATTAGTTTTGATTGAAGTGGCTCATTTTCCAGTCTCGAAACTTGGTTTTGCGTTTTTTTATGTATCAATAATTGCAAGTGTGTTAGTCAACATGGCTAGGTTGTTATTTTGTTATTACACTGTTTCATATCAGTACCGTACGCGATTTCAAATTGTTGAATTGACCATGGAACCATGGTCCGAGTGTTATTAGCGTGAAACTTTCACCAAATATGTCCACAATACCAGCCCATAACATATCTCATTTGCACTCATTTTCAAAATTGCTACATATTTTTAATATGTTCTTTAAATTGAGTCCAGATCATTCTGACTCACCCTGTAGGATTGCAAATTGCGCGCGACTTTCAATATTAGGAATGCATTCCGTGTGCGCAAGTGTGGTACCACAAAAAAAATGATTTCTGACTGATGTCCCTTGTTTGTATAGACACAAAATTGGTGACTTAGTCAATTGTTTAGAATTGTCAATTTGCGTCTGTTTTGTGCAAAACAAATGTATTGTACCACCCTGCGGAGCTCATGCTAAATATTTGATAGCACCCCCCCCCCCTGCCGCCATCAGGCAAATTATTAATAACGAATCAGCACAAAGGACACTGTCACAGGTAACTATGGCAACTTGTTGCCCGTTGTAGTTGCCAGGCGCACTTTCTTTACAAATATCATGCAGGCAGAATGTGACATATTATTTGTTTTGAACGAGTGGCTTGTTTACAGTGCCGTTGCCATGGTATTCAAATTCTAAGTTTCCTTTGTTTTATATATCACCATAGCGTTTTCTATTCATCCACACGTGTGGCTGAAATTGAAATCGTCTGCGTCATTTCGAGTATCGGTTTAAAGTGAATGTCGAGCCTGACTTTGTACACGTGTGTATTGAAAAGAATCCCCACACCACTATGGGATACCTTTGCAAAATATTGTTTAACTTAAATGTTGGTAACTATTTTAACATTGATGATAAGTATAATACCAATGAAGACCCATACATTTTGATCACAAAAACCATCATATACCTGCCTGTTTCGGAGGCAAATTTGTCACCAATACACTGTAAAAGGGTTGGACAAAACGCTGTTGGGCAATGTAATTTATCCAGCGTTGGTATGAAATTACCTCATATTGGGTCAGTGAATTGGGGTAAAACTGTCAAACTATAGGAAAGAATTTGCCCAAGAGTGTATAGGCTGTTGATAATTTGACCAGCATTGGTCGAATTATTAACCAGCATTGGTCGAATTATCAACCCATTTTGCCCAACGTTTGTAAAATGTACAGAGATTGGCGTAAACAGTGTCTTTAAGGCAGAGCATTTTTCTACTTATGACTGGCCGAGAACTACACAATAGGCCTAAACAGTTATTTATTCTCGTTGGAACGTCGCTGGTACGTCATTATAGCAGTAGGCACGAATGCAGCAGAAACGATTACACGTCTGTGTAACTTCCTTACACCATATTGTATGATGTAGGGAGAGAGCGCTGAGTTGCAATTTAGTATCCGGCGCATGGAGTTTGCGAAAAGGAGGTGAGATAAACACAGCTTTTATTAGTAAACGGGAGAGATCTCAGCATCGGCTACTGTATCCAGAAATCGACATGATTCAAAACCTGTAAAACTGTCTTGGTGTCACCGAGTTGAAGACCATTTTGTGCCAGACCACACAACATTGTGAACTGGAGAGCCCGTCTGGATTGTTGGATAGATAGACTTGAAACAAATCAACAGTGTGTGTGGACCGTAAAAGTTACCAAACTATCACCATGCCATCGCTTGTACGTTTTGTTGTCATCTTGCAACTTCTTTTAATTACTTCGGGACTCGATCAATGTGAAAACAACTCCTGTGCCCAAAAGTGTCCCCCTTCATGGAAGCGATGGCATGACTCGTGTTACCGTTTCACCCCGAGCAGGGGCAGCTGGGTCGCCGCGCGGGAGGCCTGCCTGCAGCTGGGAGGTGATCTGGCCGCCCCGCAGTCACAGGAAGAGAACAATTTCTTCTGGGAATTCGGAAAGGAGGACAATTTAAATCCATTCTGGATAAACTGCGAACTGTTGGGAACAAACAACCAATGGTTTTGTGACGAAAAAGCTATTGTCGGTTCCGATGCATTCGAATACTGGGCTCCCGGTGAACCAAATAATAACATTGGCCACGTCTGCGCTGCTCTTGGCACACGCCATGATGGGCATTGGATTGATTTCAGCTGTTCGAACTCATTTCCACCATTACCCGGCATTTGCAGATTGGTACCCCCTGCACCTCGCCTATACTGCTGCACAATCAATAGCGAAGGTAGGCTGGACCCCTCGTGTTTTGATGACTAAATTCTTGCGATCACCTTGACTATAGGCCCCTCGTTTTTTGATGACTAACTTCTGTCGATCACCTTGACTATATAGGCCTGCTACTGCACAACCAACAGCGAAGGTAGGCTGGACCCCTCGTGTTTCGATTATTATATTTTGTCGATTGGTTGAGCGTCTCTTTATGTAAGATCGCTTCGATTTGATGACTTTTGGTTCTACCAATGCAATATTAAACTGGTAACCATGAATCTTTGGAGATTGTGAGAGGCTTGGGGATTCAGACGCCTTCGCATATTTACGACAACATTTTATGTGGAAGCGTAACTTACTTGATGATATCTCTTGATTATCGCGGACAGAATCGCAGATAGTCGGTCCAGTAATCATCTGCAATTACAGACTACTTCCGATACTCCGTACTCAGTTGCATTCTTAATGATATTATATCCATGATTTCGACAAACGACGGTATAAGCTCACTAACTTCGACGCCTCGTGTGTAAGACTGTATTCTTATGGGGAGGTTGTTGAGACACGGTTTCCGGGAAGAACTGTTATTGTTCTCCGAAGTTGCGTGGTTTAATTTGTTTTCGAGTCGAGCCTTTATGGGTTTATAGAACGGTGAATCATATTATATATAATTATAATATAATTATATACGGGTGAATGACCGAAGACCCGATATAGAAAGCGCCCGCTGATTAGTCAAAATCGGGGAGGTCAAGAGGCGGGGTCTTGCCTAATTAATCAGCAAATCTGTTCATGTGATAGACCACGGCTTTCGCCAAGGTCTATTATATAGCCTAGCTATCAGATGGTTAAAACTCCAAAGCTATTATCCGATATTTAATACCTGATAATATTGATATTTAATAATATTTTGCGTCAGAGTTATGTTTATTTAAGCGCAATTTATATGAGCACTGTGTACACAAATGATATGAATTCAACCAGAGATAATGACACACAATTTCACATGTTAACTGGGGTGTTGTTTGAACCCACGACCTTAAAATTGGTGTATACGTGCTTTTTGGGTGTGGCACCTTGAAAATTGATTTTAAAATTGAATTGATTTTGTTTTCTAGCATTACATAAGTTATGAGCTTTCCAATGAGACATTGTACGAAAAAAAAAACGGCCCATGGAAAGTAATCAAATAATTAATTTCAACTTTTGAATTAAGAGCGAGACGCTCCTAATTCGTTCTGAACAGTGTGCACAATTTCTGAACTGGAGCGCGCCATTTAAAACCAATTTTTGAAATTGTATAAAGGCCTGCGAAAACGAAAAACTAATTCATTTGTTACAGGACATTATATTCCTCTAAATTGCGTTTGGAAAAGAAAATTATGAAAAGCACGTACAATTTATACCAACTTTAGAAGCAGTACAGACGGGCCAAGCTAGAATCAAATCCGTGTGTGGTCGTCGTTGTCCTTTTAGTCTTGTTGACGCAATATTATTTCTTTTCTGTTGGTGCCATTTTTTTTCTCCTTATGCTTGAAAACGAATCGCAAGCTGCAACCCAACCTCTGTTACAATCAACTACGGAAGCTGATTGCCATGTTTGTTTTCATGGGTTTGTTGACGCATTTCCATTGCTTTCTAATCGATGGACGTGTCGCATGTATTACAATTGAATGCTACGCTGATTGCTGTTTTTTTACACTTGTAATAAGTTACAAAGGGAGAGTTGGGGGAGACCACTGGTTAGGACATTCAAATACATTGCTGACGACGTATGACGCTCGCGTGCGAAGACACTACCGGTTTAAACATGCAGTCAGTATGAAATCGGTGGTGCATATACTTCACAGTCACACCAATACTATAATAATAATTAGATTTATTTATTAAAATGCTGCCATAAAGGATGATGCATAATGTTGCATAATCAAATTGACAATACATGTACATAGATATATTTACAAGTGATACATAAGCAGTGAACATTAACTAAATGGTAGCATCTAGGTCCGGGGTGAAGCATCAGCTTTTGTTCCCCAGCCTATGGACAGACAGACAAGTGACAGACATACATGAAAAGACAGAGCACAGACACGGGTTTAAGACAGTAATCAAGGCCTTTATACCCATTTCATTGTTTAAGTATGCAATTAAAAACGAGTTTTTTGTTTTTTAGCAAAAATACAGAGATACGCACACGCAGCGTGTTCATCGCCCCCCCCCCCCACCCACCCCACCCCACCCCCACTGGGGATCTTGAAAGTAGTCACAATAGCAACGGGTACCGCAACCAATTGCTATCTGTGTGATGGAATTACAGAAATGATAAATAATCTGCGTCCTTCGATGGAATAGAGAGCGCATATTAGGTTCAAATTAGCAGCTTTCAAACGAAACTGTCACAGGTCACGATGACGACTCGTGGTCTATTGTATTTGCAAGGCGCACTTTCTTTGTAAATATCATTCAGGCACGAGGGGTACATCATTTGTATTGAACGAGTGGCTTGTTTACATTGACGTTGC